GCCCCGGGGCCGGTGCGTGACCAGCGGATACCGCTTGGGAAGATCCAGCGGGCGGGATAGCTCACGTGGGCTCCCCTAGTCCACAGAACTCTCCAGATGCCTGCTCGGTCCCAGCGGGCGCGGCTCCTTCTTGATGCCTAGGCTTCTCGGTTAAGGCCAGGGTACGGGATCTCTCCCCACCTGGCGCACGGCTCGCCTCCCGGCTGCCGAGCGGAGCTCCGGACGCAGCGGAGCCAGAGGCCGGCGGGGGCTGCCCCGGAGCCTCGGCGTGCGGTGCGCAGGTGCCCGGTTAGGACACGCCGCCGGCTCTCGGGGGACCGTGGGCGCCTCGGTCAGCACCGTGGCCCTCCGGCGGCTGTCGCGGCGCGCAGCAGGCGCTCTTCAGCGGAGGACCGGCTCCCCGGGGCGTGCGCCTTTGTTCGGCTCACCGACCCGCTCCATCACGCCGGGCCGAGGGAAAGCCCGCGCTAGGCGCCCGCATCCTCGCGTCTCCGCAGTCACGCTCAAGTCTCAATTACTCTCCAAAGTGAGGGCAGCAGCAGAGGGCGGGCGGAGGGGGTAGAGCGAGACGTTCTCTCCGCCCCTCGCGCCCGGGGACAACCCCACCCCGCCGCCAAACTCGCCAGCGCGCCGGGGGCCGCCGGCTTCGGACACGTTCCAAGTCCCAGCCCCACACGGCGAGTCTGCGGGGCCTGCGGGGCGCAGTGGCCTGGCCCCGCGCTGGCGCGTCCGGAGGCCGGCCGGAAGAAGGAGAGGGAGCTCAAAAGTCACAGCAGTTCTCTGGCCCCCTCCACCAACGTCGCGGGGTGCGCGCCGGGAAGGGATGCGCGCCGGCGCACCCTGCGACCGCCAGCACGGACCGTGCAGCTCATCCCGCGCGGCCCGGAGTCACCCGCCCGGGCTCGGAATCGGCGATTGCCGAGATGCCGCCGCTGCGGCACCCAAAACCCGCACGTCCCGCTGAGAGCGGAGGGGACGCGCAGGTGGCGGCGGAGGGCGGGGCGCGGCCCGAGGGGACCGGCTGCAGCGCCGGCTCCTCCCCCGCCGCCCGTGGCCACCCCTCTCCCCTCGCCGCCGCCCGCAGGCTGCCGGGCGCACACCTCCCCTGCGCGCCGGCTCGTGCGCGCGCACCCGGAAAGGGTGGGGGCGGCTGGAGCGTGGGGGCCTGGAGGGCTGGGGGCGGTCACGGCATAGTGGCTGCGGCCGGGCTGGAGGGTCCCTTAGGTTCCCCGCACCCCCGGAGCGGGCGGGCGGGTGCGTTCCATCCCGGTGGGTGAAGAAGGCATCCTTTTCGGCGAGCTCGCCGCTCTGCTTTGCGTGGTGGCCGTGAATGGCTAGAGGGAAAATCTGGCCTGGAGACGCGGATTCTGTGACTTTCGGAGCAACTAGGAGCGGCGGCGAGATGGGTGGGTTTTCTCCGGGCGGAAACATCACCGGTCGTACGCCCTGTTTATGTGCCCACCCACACTTCTCTACGCACGGGATGAGGAAAAGGGGCATTGGACTGCTCACTATCCTAGACCCCTTTCTGTTCCCCAAACCCAACAGCTCGAAAACCTCGAATTCAGCCTTCCCTCCTTGATCCATTTAGCTCCTTGGGCCTAAAAAAAACGAAACCAGGCCAACTTAATAAAAATCAGGCAGCGAAGCTCAACGAATCTGATCGTGGACAACTCACCATTTGCCCGATATTAAAGTTTTGCTTTTCCCTGATGGGGGTGGTTGGTGATTTTTGCTAGTGTGTTATCTTCCGTCGGAATGTTTAATATAGAAAAACACATGAAAACATTTTTTTGTTGGGATGGCTGTCATCCTGTGCTAACTGTGACATTGATTCTAACTCATGGGGAGCCAAAGTGACAGATAGAACTGCCCTATCGAGTTTTACCGGCTTTCATTTACAGGCACAGATAGATGGGTTCAAACAACCAAGGTTTTCCTTAGCATCCTCCTATACTCTGCTGGAGTTCAACGGAACCCACAGGGTATTTGCATTGTAAAATCAAATTAGCTCCACCACATCCGAGGTTATAATTGGAGCAAAAGTAAAAATACACATGTGCAAATATCGTCTGCCAAACATATATGTATGTGTGTGTGTGTGTATATATATATATATATATATATGCATATACTGGTCTCTGCTTACCACGCCTGTCCAGCAGGCCTATCTACCCACGTCTATCCACTTGTAGATCGCTGTTCCTGAAGCATTGTGAACACAACAGTTTTTGACTCTGCTGTCTCTAATTCTTACCCTCTTCCTAGGGCTCTCACCTGCCCTGACTGTATGTTGCCTTCCCCTTCACCTGAGGAGCCGTGGTGGCGTAGTGGTTACTCATCGGGCTGCCAATGCAGAGTCAGCTGTTCAAAACTACCAGCCCCTCAGGCTCCCATAGGGAGTTGCAGTCTCAGAAACTCACAAGGGCAGCTCTACCCTGTCCCTGGAGCCAGCATCGACTCCCGATGGCACTGATTTGAGTTCTTTGGGCGCCCAAGTCATCCTTCTGGCCCTTCGTTTACTTGCCTTTCCCTCGTCTGCCACTCATCACTCACACGTGATGGCCTTTCCCAGGGACTGGTTTCTCCCGAGGAACCTGGGGGTATTGTGGGAACTCATCAGGCTGCTAAACCACAGGTCCGCAGGCTGAAACCACCAGCCTCCGTGGGAGCAAGATGAGGCTTTCTTTTCCCCTAAAGAGCAGGCGTCTCAGAAACCCCCAGGGGCCGTTCTGCTCTGTCCTAGAGGGTCGCTGTGAGTCAGCATTGACTCAGAGGCAGTAAGTTTGGAGGGTAGGTCTATGTTTACCACAAAAAAAAACCTTAATTTTTTTATAATGTTTAACTTTTTGACTTAATGTTCAACTTTTTAATGTTTGACTTTTTGATAAACTTTTTTAAAATCAGTTTTAGTGCGGTGTGATTTACATTGAATTGAAGGTCGCAATTTTAACTATGCATTTTGGTATATTTGAACAAATGTTATCAGTCATGTAAAAAGAACCCCTTTTCAGATAGAGGATTTTCCATCAGTCCTCCCACCTTAAAGTCTCACCTCTCTTGAGTCAACCCCTCCTATACATTGCCCCACTTCTGCTGAGCTAGAGGGCCAAGTGAGGACATTACAGAGAGGGCAGTGCCTGTAGACATTTCCCCATTCCACAGTGTCTTCCAGAGGGGCCTTGGGCCCATCTGTGAGCAGGTGCACCTTCTCCAAGCCCACGGGTAGCACTCACTAGCTCTCATGAACTCGTGCTACGTTCTGGAACCCTTGGTAGCAGGCTCGCCACTCTATACATCAGAACATTGATAACTTGGGGGCATGAAGAGTATTGCCCAAGGTCTACCTAACAGGTAGAAGGCTTGACATCTGAACCTGACTGCCAAATTCAGAGGGTGAGGTTGTTAGTTTATTGTGCCAACCTGGCTGATAAACACATGTGGGGTTAATTGAAGGGCAGAGGG